GCTTTCTACTTTGCCCCCCCCCTTTGCATTTCCAAAGGGTCTTGCACAGGTTTTTTTCCTTTCTGCTTTGCTTTTTTGCCCTTCCGAAGGGTCTTGTACTTTTCTTTCTTTTTGCCCCTTCGGCTGGAACAGATTAATCATGTTTCCGATGGGTCTTGCACAGTTTGTTTGCTTTTTGCTTTGCTTTTTTTGCATTTCCAAAGGATCTTGCATGGTTTATTTGCTTCCCCCCCCCTTCGGCCAGGACGGATTAATCACGTTTCCAGTGGGTCTTGCAGTGTTTTGTTGTGTGTTTTTTTGATGATTTTTTTCTTCAGCTGGAACAGATTAATTGCATTTCAATGCATTCCTATGGGAAATGGTGCTTTAACCATTTTGAGGTACAACCAGTGTTCCGAAACCAATTAAGTTCATAAGTCAAGGCACCACTGTACGTGCTTGGATTTTGCAAAAGTCACTTTGAAGAGTTTCTACACGGCATCTGTCATCAAAACAGCCTTCATAAATTTCAGCAGGAGTGTTCCCCCCCCCAGTTAAAAACTCTGTTCTGTTACACTGATTTACAGGTGTTGACAAACCTTACAAAACAGCTCTCATTGTAATAACTACTCTCTCAAAATGCATTTTGATACCAAGTCATGATGTTATATGTTTGCAGGGCAGATAAAAGTGCATGCTGAATAATACATTGACGTGTGAGGAATCTACCATTCAGCTACTACAATCAAACAGATGAAACATTTCAGTGGAATCTCATAAAAATCTGCTTTTATGACCTGTCTTTTTATTTTGTAGATTTTCACAGAAAGCCTTCTGTGCTCAAGCCGTCAGGAGAATATCCGGTTAGCTGGGCAGATGATGCATTGCAGTGTTTGGTCAATAGATCCCCCAGTGAATATTGCTTCTAAAGGAAAACCGCAGTATAGAGTCTGCTATGAAAAAAGCATTGAATTAGTTTTGGCAGCTAGCAGAGAATACTTTAATTCTTCAACCAATCTCACTGATCCTTGCATGGATTTGGCCAGGTAACAACACCACACTGAGTATTAACTGGAGTATTTGAGGGTTGGGGGGGTGTCTTGGCAGACCTCAGGTGTCCTAGATGGGATTCATTATGTGGTACAGCTTCATTCATTCATTCATTCATTCATTCATTCATTCATTCATTCATTCATTCATTCATTCATTTTTAACCCATCTTCCTCCTTTCATTGTCTTGAATGAAAGCTGAAAAAAGTACAGTGGTGCCTCGCTTGACAACGATAATCCATTCCAGCAAAATCGCTGTAGAACGAAATCGTTATCAAGCGAAAGTAAAAAAGCCCATTGAAATGCATTGAAAACTGGTTCAGTGCATTCCAATAGGCGAAATACAAAGCAAAGCAAAGCAAAGCGTGCTGCTTATATACCGCCCCATAGCACTTCAAGCACTCTCTGGGCGGTTTACAAGTTAATTATGCAGGGTACACATTGCCCCCCCCCCCAGCAAGCTGGGTACTCAGTTTACCGACCTCGGAAGGATAGAAGGCTGAGTCAACCTTGAGCCGGCTACCTGGGATTGAACCCCAGGTCGTGAGCACAGTTTTGGCTGCAGTACAGCGGTTTAACCACTGCTCCACGAGGCTCATCGTGCAGCGAAGATCCTCCATAGGGCGGCCATTTTCTGGTGCCTGTTAAGCAAGGAATCCGTCCTAAACACAGCAGGGAGCTATTTTGCACAGTGGGTGGTCATTTTGAGAGCCGCCGATGAGCTGTTTTAAAATAGTTGTTTAGCGAAGAATTGGTTCCCGAAGCAGGGAATCAATTGTCGTAAAGCAATTTTTCCCCATTTAAACATCATTTTGTGATCGCAATAGCAATCGCAAAAACCTCATTGTAAAGCGGATTCGTCATCTACCGGGGTAATCGTCAAGCGGGGCACCACTGTATACTAATACTAGAAAGAGTCAAATGCCGCACTACAACCCAATAAACAAAAGCAATGCCAAAACCACGTTCAAAGCAGTAAGTTGCAACAGTCCATTTAACAACCTCACTCAGTCATTGAGGGAAAGGAAGACAAAATCTTTCTGGTTTTCCGCATGTTTAAATCTTGGTGAGATGATTGCAAATCCCTCTGCCCAGACAAATCCTAGTTTTAGCCTATGCCCTTTGCTTGTAAAAGCACATCTTTGTTTTATTGCTGTCTTTTATACGTGTAAGTGTTTTCCTTGGGTGAAGGGCCATTTCTAAGTCAGCTGTTACTTATATTAATTTACATTAGAAATTAAATGAGTTCCAGATGCGGCTAGAATGCGATCACCTGGAAACCATTGTCCATCACTTGGTTGCATTAGTAGATTGTGCTCTGTATGGGGCTGCCTTTGAGGACTATCCGGAAATGTCACTTGGTGTAGACTACACAGCTGGGCTGCGAACTGGTGCTTAGTATCACAATCTTGTCCCTCTAGCGAGCTGGAAGTTCCACCTTGGATTCCAGTTGTTGTCTGGGCTCAGTTGTTGGACGTGTTGGTTTTAGCCTTTAAAAGTCCAGATGACTTACAAGTCTGAGGAACTGCCTGCCTGGGTTGGAACCTGCCACCTTAACAGGAATGGGAGACGAGGCGCTCCACCTGTCAAAGGCTCATCTGTTTAGCACCCAGGATCTGTGCCCTTCCTGAATGGTGGTGCCGTCTCCTTTGGGGACTGCAGCTGGTCTCACACTCTTTCTGTGTATTCAGGAGGGAGGACGGGGACCCTGTTTGCAACCGGTTTTGTTGTGTCAACGGCCAGGATCTTCCTGTGGATCTCTGCAGGCACAATGTAGTTAGCAGATTGTCGCTCACTAAAGAATTCTTTTTACAGTTTTAGGGTGTGTGTGACTTTATCTCATTCTGTGTCCCAAAATGAAAAAAAAGAGGATGCTCTTTCATAATAATAATTATAAGGAGGTGTTCTTTAATAAGTGGCAGCCTGCTGCCACTGGTGACGTCATTCCCACAGCACCAGCAGAGCACCTGCAAACAGGGGAGCTACTCTTGGTTCTGATCCCACTGGGGCCAGTAAGAATAAGGGAGAGGAGAGATCCAGAAGAGAGTAAAGGAAGGCTGCAAAGAGCACTGATCTTGATGAGATCACCATTACATTTTTTACTTTTTTTTTTTATTTAACTTCCTTGGTAGGTTTCAGAAAAGTGGTGTAAAGATAGTTCAGCTAAACTGGGACATATCTTAAGCCTATATCGTGCTTAGCTTGTTAAGGCATATGGGCACCAAGGGCAATCCATCTGCAACAGCCAATGGTTTTAAGAATGGGAATTAATATTGCCCCTGTTTAAACTGTACATCTGAAAAAAACAGCAGGTGTGTTTTGCTGTTGGTGGGGCATCCTTTGTCCACCTGCACATTTTTGAATGTGAAGTTTAAGGCTCACATAAGGAGTTAGAGATCAAAACCAACATGCTTTTTCCCCCCTTTTTGATTTAAAAAGGAGACACAACCGTCTTGAGCATACATAAGGACGTTCTTGTAATTTATTTATCAAATGCCATTGGGCTACATAATCCCACACAGAACTGATACAAAGAGGTAGCTTCTTTCATCTTCCAGTGAATGTGATGCAAGAAAGCAATGATTTTCTGAAAGATTTATTAGTATTGCATAAGTTAAGTAATAAAATGTGGGCCACTGAGATAAAATTAGGGCTGTGGGTGAGGAGGTGTGATCTGAATGCTCTAGATCCCGGGACTGCATATTTCCTACTCTCTCTCTCTCTCTCTCTCTCTCTCTCTCTCTCTCTCTCTCTCTCTCTCTCTCTGTGTGTGTGTGTGTGTGTGTGTGTGTGTGTGTGTGAGAGAGAGAGAGAGAGAGAGAGAGAGAGAGAGAATGTGCCCTCTGGGTGCAAAGACAAATGTAACCTTTACGTTACCAGGGGTTCACTTCCTTGGCAGGTTTCAGAAAAGCAAGGTAGAAGTAGGAACGGTTTACTGCTTGTCTCAGGGTTTACAACCTGCACCACTTGGAGTTAGGGGAGATTAAATCACGGCTCCTGCTTGGAAGAGAAGAGGGAGCACTGCCTAAATGCATTATAAGGATCAGATTATGGCTTTCCTTATTTAGGGCTTTCCTTCCCTCCACTGGGTACCCTTTGCAGCCTTCCTTGCTCGGTTCTTGACCTCTCCTCTCCTCCTCATCCTTATTGGCCTCAGTGGGACTAAAACCAGTCTTGGCCTCCAGGTGCTCTCTTTTTCCGGTGATGGCTTCAGAGGCCTTTGTGGTGACACAGAGGGCTTTTCTTTCCTGATTTCCAGTATATGTGCATGCAGTGGCGTAGTGTAGGAGAGACACCTGGGCCATCACCCCAGGGTGAAAATTTTTTAGGGGGTGCAAACTTTGGCGCAGCCTTTCCCCTGCGCTCCCTCTCTCCAGTGGAGAAGGGCAGGGCTGCAGCCTGGCAGTTTGCACCCAAATTCTGAGGAGAGGGATGGGTGGGAACTTGAGACGGGGTCCCGTGTCGCTGTGTGAGCTTGCTTGGGGGGCACTCTGAAGGTGGCTTGGGGCCCGCAGGTGCAAGCCCTGGCACCGAGTCATTGATGGGCTCTGCCGTCATAGCTCTGCCTGCTGACCCCACTGTGCTGTGTTGGCAGGCCACCCCCATTTGGTCTACCTTGGCCCCACAGCTCCGGCAAGACCCAAATGGGCGTCGTTGGAGCTGTGGTCATGCAATTCCACCGCTCCGTGTCTCGTCCTCCCACCGCTGCCTACATGCTCTTTTTTGCACCTGCGCCCGGTACAACCGCTGGGCTTTTTTGGGCAGCAGCCGCTGCCAGCAGCAGCAACAGGGGCCCAGACCAACACAGCCGGGAGGCAGGGAGGAGATGACAGCTGGTGCACATCCAGCTCTCTGCCTCGGTTGCGCCAGCAGCAGCGGCAGGAAGGCACACTCCAGCTCAGTCGCGCACTCCAGCCCAGTCACGCCATCCTTCTGGCTGCCTTCCTGGCAGCGGTTGTGTGCAAAGCCTGGGAGGAAGAGGAGAGTGGATCCTCGGTTCCCGTGGGTAGCCGCTGATCGCCAGGAGTGGCTGCTCCCTTCACTGTGACTATCTGCCACTCCCTGGCCACCTTCCATGCATGCTCAGGAGGTGGCAGCAGCAGCAGTGGGCGGATGAAGTGGCTCTTTCCTTCTGTTTATTATTCATTCTATTTCCATAATAATGCGCTCCAGCTTCAGATGGGAATGGAGAAGGGGGCTTCTGGTATGAGGGCTGACTCGGAGGAATGAACTTTGGCCCCTTCAAGAGGATGGTGCTTGGAACCTGTCCTGGCAGAGAAGGTTCAGGAGAGGAGTGCCACCCAACCACCAGGGCCCTCTGGCTGGCAGGCAGGAACTGCTGCAGCTGCCAGTTGCCCCTGTTTTTTTTCAGTCCTCTGGGGGAAAAAGGTTTGCACCAGGATGTACACTGGTGGGAATCCAGGCCCCTCGTGCTTCGCTCGCCTACCTGCCCCATCCATGGGTTAAGGGGTGCAATATTTGCCTTTCCCTGGGTGCTGGCAATCCATGCTATGCCACTCTGTGCATGGACACAGTGGCATGTAACTCCTTCATGCTTCTTCTAGCCACACCAGCGTTTTGGAGAATGACACCCTGGGGGTTCATCCTCTCCAGCACTCCTCCTCCTAACTAAAGCTTCTCCTTAAGTCATATGAGATTGTCACCACTGGGACGGGGTGGCGCTGCGGACTAAACCACAGAAGCCTGTGCTGCAGGGTCAGTAGACCAGCAGTCATAAGATCGAATCCACGCGACGGAGTGAGCTCCCATCACTTGTCCCAGCTCCCGCCAACCTAGCGGTTCGAAAGCATGCAAAGGCAAGTAGATAAATAGGTACCACCTCGGTGGGAAGGTAACAGTATTCCATGTCTAAGTTGCACTGGCCATGTGACCATGGAAGATTGTCTTCGGACAAACGCTGGCTCTATGGCTTGGAAATGGGGATGAGCACCGCCCCCTAGAGTCGAACATGACTGGACAAAAATTGTCAAGGGGAACCTTTACCTTTACCTGTGGTGTTGTAGAAATCCCGGGCAGCAATTTATTTCTTTGGAGGTGGTGCGTCCACTTGAAGGCGGGAGAATGGTGAGAGTTGGCAGTGTGGGGCGCTTTAGGATGCAGAGATGACCCCTCCATGAAAACTTGTATGGATTCATGGGGCAGCTTTCTCAGGAAAAAGAACAGGATGCAGTTGTGATGAAAGAATGTACGTATAATGGAGGAATCCATTGGATGAGAGGAGTTAGCACAGCTTCTTGAGTGATCATTATTTAGCCTTTCTGCCAACCACCAAAACTTCTAAAGCAGGCTTGTCCAACTTGCGGCCCGAGGGCCACATGCAGCCCAGGTCGGCTCATAATGCGGCCCAGTGCAAATTTTTATTTTTAAAGAAATTCCAAAGTTTCAAGTTACACTGCCGGCGCTTGCAGCCGGAATGCGGCTGGGGCACGTCACAACGGTGGGGGGGAGAGGGAAGGAAGGAAGGAGCGGGAGGGGAGGGGAGAGGGGGGCTGTGTGACTGCATTGCACCATCCCCGTCAATAGGTGGACCCCCTCCCAGCCCCATAAAGCCACCGGAGTCGAAGCTGGCAGCCTCTGCTGTCTGAGATCGCAGCTGCTGGTAAGCGCGCTTGGAGCGGGGCTGCGGAGGACGGCTAGGGCTGCCCCCCCCAATGTGGCCCAAACCAAATGTATGTGCGGCCCAAACCAAATTTTCATCTTCTAATGTGGCCCAGGGAAGGTGAAAGGTTGGACACCCCTGTTCTAAAGGGTTTGCATGCGATTGTATTGTATCCTTTAATCTTTCACTTCAATGCATTTTGGAAGGCTTGCGTAGAAGGTAACAGCAATATTTATCCGCAATCATTTGCAGCACAGACCTTTACTCCATCCATTTCAGCCTGCTCTTGCTTTTGCTTCCTTGTTATAGTTGCCTATGTATGTTTTTAAAATGTTTCTGTTAGTTTTTTTTATTATTTGGGGGGTAAATGTGTTTTAAAATTTAAAATACTGCAAAAAAGGTAAACTACTTTTCTTGTTGTCTCTGCCTATAGTACAGACTTCTGTTTTCATAGGGCACAGTGTCAAAACTATTCAAAATGGGTCAAGGTTGCATTTTACTAACAGAAGAGAAAATGAATTCTTTCCATCCCACCTTAAAGAAAGAAACCCTTCTGGGGGGGGGCAGCTCCCACCTCACATTAACCTCAACCTCCAATGAAACATCTGATTTCATTACCTAGCATTAGCAGTTTTGCAGGCTAGTGACATTCTTCCTGTAGGAGAAATTATTCCAGAAGGGTTTCTTCTTGTAGATAAAATGAAAGTCCAGTAAAAAAAAATGCAGAAATAAAGTTTGTGAGGAAGGATGGAACTACAGAAATAGTGTCAAGCAAGTTACCAGCTTCCCTTCCTCACCACCACACAGAATCCAAGAGCTCTGTTTAGCTAAAATCATTAACTGGGCTGCTTATCTATTTTTTGCAGAGATCTCGAAAAAGTAATGTTAATTGAATAATTCAGGTGATATGGTCAAACTGTTAATAACTTCTCATTTTCTTAATATTGCCCACTTTCCTGCTTTTATGGCTGAACAGCCATAATTGCACAACTGTACTCGCTGGTTAGTCATGCGATTTTGCCACTGTTTCAAATAATTTTCTCCATATTTAATGGAACGTTGCCTGACTAATGGGATTTCCTGGTGACTTAACATGGAGGAAAAAAATGGATGTCTTTATTCTGAATGATGTCTGTCCCCCTCCCCAACTACCTCATCCATACACAGTGGGTTTCCTTACTAAATAAAAACCTTCCACCAGTGTTGATTCAGTTGGGCTGATTCTCCCAGGATTCATATAAATGGATACTGAGAACTGCCTTTCAAAAAAGTAACTTTTTCTAGTTCTGATCCAGGGAATGAGAGGTTTCTTTCTATGGGCCCTTTTCCTAGGTGTCTTTTCCCTTGTCCTCATTTTTCAGACACTTTCCCCTTCCCTTCAGATTTTTGGGGTGGTGGTGGTTTCTTTCTCTCTGGTCAAACCAGATGATAAGATAGCACCTTCTTCCAGAGGCAGTCCCTAAAAGAGTGCAAGACATCTGGTTGTCATAGCATGTGATTTTTCTCAAATACATTTTTACACTTAGCATATTTCATTTCATGATGGGCTACTGACAGGTAAACCCAAGCTTAATTTGCACGTCTGCAGAGTCATTTGTAATTGAGGAAATCCTGTTGTGATGAGGGAAAAGATTAATCATAAAGAATACGGCTGCTCTTTAACATCCATTTTGATCTTGTCAGTCAACATTTATGCCCCCCCTCTTTTTAATAAGATTTATTTTGTTTTTTTGTTTTCATACTCCTAAGATCTTCCGCTATTACTCGGCTAAGGTTTTAAACTACATTTTTATGAGCATACAAAGAAAAGTGGACATTTACTCTGTACATCTCTCTCCCTCTCTCCTTCTGCCAAAGCACTGATGGCGATTATCTCACAATTAATAGCCCTTCTAGAAGATTCCAGTCTTTGTTTTTTGGTTGAGTCACACACCCAGAAGCATCCTGGAAGTACTGTCGAATTTGAAAATAAGATGCACACTCCTCCCAAGCCTTGTTTTTAAAGGCTACTTTTGGCTACTTTTGGCTATTCCTTCTGCAACCATTCTATCAGATAATGGTAGCATGACATTTCGAAGCAGGGTGTGCAAAAACGGGGGGGGAGGGCTGCATATAGTTCACAGGCTATATGGTGTGTCCCTCCCCTAAAACATAGCCAAGATTCCACAGAGTGCTAGATTTGGGCACCACCAAAAACTCATTGTTAGCTGAAAACAGAAACAAATGCTTCCAGTTCCAGAGCAGCTGCATGTAGAGAGGGTAAGCCTTTTGTTATGCACGTGGCATTGAACTAAGTATTATCTTTGAACTTCCTCTATGGCAGAGGTCCCCAACCCCCTGTCCAAGACCCGGCAGCGGTCCGCGGCCTAGGCAGGATCAGGCCACAAACACAGATTTCCTGCCCCCTCCGTGAGCATGCCATGCACATGCGCACAAGCGCGCTCCATCCCCTGTGGGCGCGCCATGTCCCCCTGTGGGCACGCCACACCACCGCAAGTCTGCCATGCCCCCCCAACAGGTCCACAGTTGGGAAAAGGTTGGAGACCACTGCTCTATGTCATACTGTCTTTATAGTGTATATATAATAGCAGCACATTAACTCCTCAGAAAATTTTTCCTCTTTTTTTACAGATCCTGCCTACAGCTTATTACAGACTGTCCACCCATTATTCAAGAGGAATTGGATCTAATTCGTGCTCTTAGCTACCTTGAGGAATTTGGGGTGAAAATCTTGCCATTGCAAGGTATGATATATTAGCTGTGTGTCTTATGTGGTAGTTTTTAGTTGTCCTGTAAAATGTCTGGAATATATGCGGTACAGTGTCATACATATACAGTGGTGCCCTGCTTGACGACAATAATCCTTTCCAGGAAAATTGCTGTTAAGCGAAATCGTCATCAAGAGAAAAAAAAGCCCATTGGAATGCACTGAAAACCAGTCAAAAGGGGAAATTACTCATCGTCCAGCGAAGATCGCCAATAGAGAACCGCTGATCAGCTGTTCTAATTTGCTGTAATGCAAAGCTTCCGTCCGGAAAGCAGCCATTTTGAGAAGGGAGGGAAGCCATTTTACAAAGGGGAGCCATTTTGCGGAGCCAGAAAAATCATCGTTTAGTGAACAAACGGTTCGCGAAGCAGGCTCCTAATTGACGTCAAGCGAAAAAACCCCATTGGAACCATCGTTTTGCAATCGCAATAGTGATCGCAAAAAACTCATCGTAAAGCCATTTTGACATCATGCGGGGTAAACGTCTAGCGGGGCACCACTGTATATATGATGAGTACATACAGATCTTTCACTAAACTGAATGAGTCTTAAAATGTATCTCTCCTTATTGGGTATGATCCAGCAAAATGATCACCCTGCTGCCACTACCAAGTCTAGGAAAACTAGTGATATATGATGAATTAACATTATTTCCATATATATATATATATTGATCATACCCAATAGGGAGAGATGCATTTCAAGACTCATTCAGTTTAGTGAAAGGAGATCTGTATGTACTAATTCTGCATTTTAAATTAATGGGAACTAAATGTGCTTTATTGCACTTGGATTGCACCCACATGATTGGCTGATGATTTTGCTACCTTCATCCACACACCATCTAAAAGTTTAATTACAGTGGTGCCTCGCTTAGCGATTGCCTCGTTTAACGATGTATTCGCTTAGCGATGGGTTTTTTGAGCGATTTTATGCTCCGTTTAGCGATGTTTCCTATGGCGATTTTTGCTTAAGGACGGTAATCCGTTCCCATTGGAACGGATTAACCGGTTTTCAATGCATTCCTATGGGAAATGGTGTTTCGCTTAGCAATGTTTTCCCATAGCGATGTTTTTTTGGGAACCAATTAACATTGTTAAGTGAGGCACCACTGTACTACCTTTTGCCAAACTGAAACAATGTGTGTCAGGCCATATTTGACACTTAGGAAAGCTTCAAAAGCAGTCTATAAGGGGATGGGGCTGTTATCTCAAAGAGAAGAAAAGGAAAAGCTAAAAAGTCCTTGTTACATACAGCACTGATGTTACCTGTCTGTCATGGGTTTGGAGGGAAAGTTCCATCCTATGGGGAGTGGAAGGCGGGACATCAGGAGGAGGGGCTGTACTGTATATATATGTGATGCTGAGAGACACTGAGAGATACTGAGAGACACTGGGATGTGACGAAGCAGCAGCTGGGAAGAAGAAGCTGTTGTGGGAGTCTGTGTGTCAGACAGGGTACTTCTGTGTGTCAGAGTACCAACCTGATAGGTTCAGGTGTCTGTTGGTTAGCCAGAACTGATAGGTTCAGGGTCTGTGCTTCAAGTTAAGGTTCTGTGTGAACCAAACTGTATGCTTGTATGAGTGAGAATAAGCCACGTTACTTTATCTTATTCACCTGATTGTTTATTTTTCCCTGTGTGTATTTAAATAAACCTTATTCTTTTATTGTTTAAAAATCCATCCCTGGTCTGTGTGACTTCTTACAGGGAATGGTTGGTGGCAGCTTAGTGTAACTGTGTGACAGATCCCAGTAGGTCTAGGGTTGTCACAGTCCTGTCAAACTTGCACACCAAAAATCAAGCGGCCAGCCAAAACACATGACATTGGCTTGAAAACATTCCATGTGAAACAAAAGATCAACATGGAGAGTCCAGCTAAATGGGAGAGACAACATGCCAGACTGTGTTCAGCAGTAACATTCCCATTCTTAGTCACCTCAGCTAACTGTACCAGGCTTCCCGGATGGATGGATCACATGCATTGCTTATATGCTGCCCTACAGCAGCTTTTACATTTCTACCTTATTGCTTTTCACTTTGAGTGTGTGAAGTGCTTGCAGCCTTGATCCAAATCCAATTGGTCATCCCTAGCAGACCTACTGAATCAGTGGGATTTGTGCAAGCATTATTCAACCGTTGATTGAATAGGTGTGATCTAGTTGGGATTGAAGACAGGACGGCCTGGCGTGCTCTGGTCCATGGGGTCACAAAGAGTCGGACACGACTTAACGACTAAACAACAGCAACAAGCCAGGATTAGCAGTTGGATTTCAGCCATTAGCTTCTTCATCCTGGTAGCCTGGTGAGGCAAGTCATCCTCATTTTATTTCTAGGAAGTGGCCCCATTGGCCTCCCACTCCCCACCCCACCGATTCTTCTCCAAAATTTCATGTGCCTGAAAGGGAGGCAAAATGGTTAACTTAGCCATAAGAAAGCCCAGAACCATCCTGTCTCTGCAGTAACAATTATGTTTGATAGGAGTGTTTTACTGCTATTTGAAGGTGCCTTGGGAATTTCAGCTTGTATAACTTAATTTTATTGGTCTTTTTTAGTCTCCTGCTTTACTGCCCAATAAACTCTATTCTTATTTTTTTAAAGCATAATACCTTTATCACTGACAGTTTTTCAACCGTTCTAATCTTTCACTCACAGTGACCTTCCTTTGTTTTTAGTAATTTTATACCGCCAGCAACTGGATGAATAATGCAGGTTTTAAAAATGCAATCATGAGTTCCTAATAATTCATAATTGAGTTATTAAGGAATTCCCATTGTGTTGTAGTGGACAGAGTGATGGACTAGGACTCTGGAGAACAGGGTTCAAAGCCCCACTTGGCCATGGAAATTAACTGGGGGAGTGGAACTGGTAAAAATCACTCCTTGAATATCTCACTTAACTTGACAGGCCTGTTAAGGTCAGTCGGTTCTAACTTGACAGCACAGATCACACACATGAGTTCATAAAGCCTATGTAGCTTTTCAGACAACCTTTAAAATGGTTCAACTAATCTAGGGTAAAGTGAAAAAGGGAAAGTGCAAAACTCTGATTGCAAGTTCGATTATTGTGCCTTTAGTGGTTCTTGACAGAAATTCCATCATGTTAGGTTTTAATCATCATTTCATTCTGTTTGCGGAAATTTGAGTCTACTTTTAGTATCACAGGCTTATAATATGATGTAAATAGAAAATAACAAAGAAGGCTCTTATGCCAGAAGATCTTAACTTGAAAACCAAATTTAACAGTTATAAATTGTATCGTGTACAAGTTCAAACAATACTTTTTTTTCAGCTTACATTGGAATTGCTGGACCTTCCGTCCTTAAATTTTAAAAGTCTGCATGTGAGATCTCTTAAAAATGTCTGAGGTATTTAAGACTTCATTCACACTGTTCCTAGTGTGTAAATGCATTCAGTTGTGTTGTGCTGTTCTGCGTTGGAGTGGTAAGCCATTCTCCCCATCAACTTGCTCTCGTAAAAAGAGCCATCCTGCTTGTCTGATGTGTGCTTAGCTAATGTCTCCCTCCATCGAAGATGCATTGCCTTCTGTAGTCTTACTGTTTAATGTAATGTATTTTCTCACCAGTTCGTCTGTGCTCTGATCGACTCAGCCTTATCAAGGAGTGCCTCTCACAGCTGCCAACAAACTATAAGCAATCTGCCAAGCTCTTGGGACTTGCAAATTTGCTGAAGGTTGCAGGTAAAATAAAAGTGTGATGAAAGATACTCATATTTTATGTTGAACATTTTCAGTTTTATAGGGGATTTATTCAAGGACTTGTTCAAAGATCCTGCTTTCTCTTCAGAGAAGTTTGACATGTCATTATGTATGGCACCCTTCTCTTCTACATAAAATGCAAATGGAGTTCATTTTGATATCCCACTCAGTATGTCTGTTGTCAGCAGAATTCACATCAGTTAAAGTACATTCATAACTTGTGGTCATTTGTTAGTATTACACCCCATGAAATGTCTTGTCCCGTTCCTTTCTATATTGTCTTCTTTGAAGACTGTAGATTTAATGCAGATATATTTGCCGTTCTGCTTTAAGACTGTCGTACTGTGTTAGCCAGAGCTTGGAAGTAAGATGTTAAAAGTCATGGATTTATTAATAACAGCTGAAATCTTGTTCCACAGTTGAGCCATGTGCACCCCAAAATCACAAAAGCAAGCCTTCAATTAGTGGCAGTCTGTCTCACCGCTAGGAACATCATTCCCATTAAGCAGGTGGACCCCATCCGACAGGATTTTGGACAATGTATTACATTTTCTCCATGCTCTTTGCTTCCACTGTGCTAGTTCTTGTTAACACTGCTATTAGGGCTTCCAAGAGGCTTCCCAAATAGACATTCACGTTTACAGAAGCTTCCTGTGTCCATACCTCTGGCATTTTTACTGGTATGACAGAATCACTAGAGAGAACAGAGAGGGCTACCAAGAACTGAAAATAAATTTTAAAAGAAAAATTTAAATAAAACCCTGTTGTGTTAAATTACCATATTTTTTGTGTATAAAACGACACTTTTCCTAAAATCATTAGAGGAAAAATTGAGGGTCGTTTTATACATGGAAGGAGGCAGAGGTGAAAGAGCAGCCGCGCTCGGCCACTTTTTGCAGTTGCCCATTGAGTGCTGCTGCCACCACCAGATTGCCTCCTCCAGCGCAACTCACGAGCTCCCTTCGGGCAGGGGACAGGGTGGCATCGTCAGCTGGAGGTGAGCCCCAGCAGTGGCGCTGGAGGAGGCGATCAGGCGCCAGCAGCAGTCAATGGCCTTTGAAGAGCCAAAGATGTGTTTGACTGTTAAACAAACCAGCACGAACTGCCGAACCAGTGGTTCATGCCCATCTCTACTTGTAAGCAATAGGATTTTAGTTGTTGTTAGTAATGTTTCTGTTATTATGTGCTGCCATTATAATGCACAGAGCTTCTGATGTTGGATCATGATTTAAACTGTGTTTAACTGTAGTTGCCCAGTAACTCTATATATATAGGTAGTAAAGCATATGAAAATATATATGGGTGTGCCTTGTGTTTTCATTTTCTTACAGCTAATAGTCCATACAAATTCAAAATTTTCATTAATTTAGTATCAGCAACTATGTTAATTAGCATGATGTCTCAACAAAGTGGTGTGCCAGGTAGCGTAGAGGTCTCCTGTCATATCTAGCTGCCTAGAGCATAAGGTCGGAGTCCTTCTCCTGTGCCCCGAGTAATTGAAATGGTAGAGGGTTACCAGAGGGCCTTCTCAGTCCTGGCTCCCTGTGACATCTTTTCCCAGAGAAATTCTCCTGGTGCCTACACAGTGGCCTTATGGCCAAAAATGTAGACCTTTTTATTCTCCTTAAAAAAAACAACACCAAATGCTATAATGCTTTGTAATATAATGCTTTCTAGATTTTGCACTTGTATTCCGCTGCTGGTTGGTTGGTTTGTTTTTAATTTTTGATTTTTGTGCTATGCTAGTTTTAATTCTAGCATAGCACAAAATTTAGATTCTTTAATTTAGATTCTAGGTTTTGTTTCACTTTTATTATATGCCTTTTATCATTGTTGTTTTGTGTTTTATGTTGCTAGTCACTTCTACAGAAAACAGATAACTGTGGGGTTTTTTGTGCTCTCACAGGCAAAATGCTGACCTTTGCCATTAGAAGCTTACAATCAAAGTTGTTCTATTCTATTGCAAGAAATTTTTTCTGAATCCCTACAAGGAAGGCAGCTAATTAAAGCACAGGAAACTTGACATGTATGGATTTAAATGCTAAGGAAAGGAAAAAAGAAAAAGAAAAGAAAGGAAAAAAAAAGAGAGAGAGAGAGAGAGAGGCTTTGTACATTGGAATAGGAAATAATGCAGTGGATGCTTTGGAGGGTAGTTAAATGTGCGGATGAAAATGAGAACTAGTTTGCTTTCAGCTTGAATTTAGAGACAATAATTGTAATAACAACAATAATAATCTGAGAACTGCAGAGCTGGAAGGGACCCTATGGATGAGAAGCTTAATTCTGTAAGTAGTCAAATTGAGAGGTCTGATATTTTTTGAAAAATGTTTTCAGTCCATACCATAAGCTTCAGACTGATTGCTAATAAGCTCCTGTACTCCTGGTGTTGCGGTGAAACGCCTGGTGAAGATGGTCTACTGTGCAACTCCCATGAAAAGGGGAAATTCTTCCTTGAGTTTTTGGTTTTAGAAGGATGAAAATAAAACTGCCTGCATTACATTGCCCACATAGAAATCTTTGCTGCAGCCACTTTTGGAAGACTGTCTGGGACGTAGTGAATTATTGAAAATGTTTTGTTCTCATTTTCCCTGTCTTGTGATGCCAAGTCTTATGAGATTTCCTGGCCAGAACGCCTCCTGTTCCCATAAGGAAGTGTTTCCTGTGGGAAAAAACTACTTCATTAGAGCTTTCAAAACCGCCATTTTCTAGCCCATGCAAGATGGAGGAACATGCTGCCAAAGTGAGCCCTCTACTTCCATGCAGGAGACAGCAGAACAATAGGCTGTCTTCCTATTTCTACCACAGAAGGACTCTTTGGAAGGGGGGGGGGCAGACCTTGGCTGGCTGGCATCCCATGCAAGAACTCTGGGCAAGTTGTGCCCTGTGCAAATAGGCACAGAAAAATGGTGAGAAATCTCATTAGCCCCCATCCCTCCCAAAAACCCTTATGCAAGCACAGAGAGAGATTGTACTGCAAGGAGAAAAACAGAATTTTTGGCCTTTTCTCACAGAGGAGGGCGAGACTGCCATTTCTAGTTTGCAGTGTGGGTCACTGCGCCTGAAGTAGGACACTGTAAGTGCAGACAAGAGAAACCAAAATTGTCCAGGGCTGAGAGCAATGACCACAATGAAGAAAAGGTTGCAACATTTGGACCTTTTTAATGGGGGGAGGGAAAGTGAGTGAGGGGAATGTCCATAGTCAAAAGTGGAACTCACTGCCGCATGATGTTGTGGCCACTGACAATAGATGGCTTTAAAAGGGGATGAGGTGATTTCATAGGCAATAAGATTATGAAAGGCTGTTGCCGTCATGGCTAGGTATCATATCCAGTATTAGAAGCTACACCTGGGTTTGCTGTCTGCCCCTGTCCTTGCCTCCCCCTTTACAACATTTTTTCAAATGTTACCTGTCTGTAATGTAGCTTTGAAATTCTCCACAGCACCTTCGTCAGGTCCATACTCTTCTCCCACCCCCAATGGAAAGGTGAGGAGTGGCCAGGAGGTTAACACCCCCCCCCCAATTCTCTGAATTGCGATTCTGCCATCCTCAGCATTAATCCATTCTCCTCTCCAGGCCCCGGGATGAACGTTCTGGGCGCGGTCACCCACAACATGGCGATGAGGTCCATTTCCCCTCGCTCCATCTCTTCCGGTGCCCCTGGGGTGACACTTGTGCCATGATCCAAAGACCTGGGCAACCATTTCTGTAGAATCAAGGGGGTGGGCGGGTGTTAGATTGTATGTCGCCTCTACGTGGAACTGTGTGTGGCATAGCAAAAAGACTTATCAGAAGGAGGGGACTCGTCAAGGTAATTTGTGTTGTGACCAGGGGATAAGAGATGGTCTGTGGTTCAAAGGGGAAAGAACCAGGGAGTTATTGTTTGGGTGATCGATAATGTATTGCTTCTGTTTATAGGCCCCTTTTCTGCTAATGAGATTAAGATAGAATATCGGGCTGTCCTTGGCCCTCACTTGATCCTCGCAATCTCCCTTTGAGGAGGGGGCTGGTTGAGAGAGGGTGAAGGGCCCGAGGTGCTGTGGTGAGGTTCCTCGCTCAGCGAAGACTAGATCTAGAAAATCATGGGGACCATGCGCCAGCCATTAGAATAAATAAACAAACAAAAGAACAAACTGGGCTGAATTCAAGTACAGTGGGGTCTTGACTTGAGAACGTAATCCGTATTGGAAGGTGGTTCTCAAGTCAAAAAGTTCTCAGGTCAAATCTGCATTTCCCATAGGAATGCATTGAAAACCATTTGATCCGTATCTGCTCTTTTCCGTCCATAGAAACTAATGGGAAGCTGCTATTCTGCCTTCGACCACTAGAGGGGGATATTTTGTTTCTTTTTTTCTGTCAATAAATAAACAAACAAAAGAACAAACTTGGCTGAATTCAAGTAATAATGAGTTCCAGCAAAGATTTTATCATTGTTTGTTCTAATCACCGTATATTTGAGGAGTGAGGAAGCAGACAGGCACCCTTTTCACTGGCCAACAGTTAACTGAAAGTTCAAATTTTGCACTTTCCCTGCCTCCCACGTGGTTTTTTTCAGTTCTTAACTCAAATCTAAGTATGTAAGTCAAGTCAATATTTTCCTATGAGAGTGGTTCTTAAGTCAAAATGTTCTTAACTCAAGCCGTTCTTAAGTCAAGACCCCACTGTAATAGTGAGTTCCAGCAAAGATTTCATCATTGTTTGTTCTAATCACCGTATATTTATTTGCCTTTAACTTTGTATGCTTACTGAGTCCCTGTTCATCAGTGCTGCTGGCTTCATCATATAGATAGGAATAATTGCATATTTTGTCCTAAATGTTTATCACAGCAGTGATTTAATCTGTTTACTTCTGGCATGTGTAGAATTCGCAGTCCACAGAATCTCTGTTTTTCCTTGGTTACCTGAATTAGTCTTCTCAGACTAGGTATCTCCCTGAGCAGCATGACAAATTTTGTGATGCCTGCTCATCAGGTTAATTTATATA